GGCGTTAGCATCAGAGAGGCTAGGGACTAGCATGCCTAAGCTGGTGTTAGCAACAGAGAGGCTAGCAACTAGCATAGATAAGCTAGCCTCCCTGACGCTAACACCAGCTTATCTATGCTAGCCTCTCCAATGCTAATGCCAGTTTATCCATGTTACTTGCTAGCCACTTCAATGGTAACGCCAGCTCATCCATGCTAGTCACTAGCATCTCAGATGCTAACACAAACGAATATTCTCATTCTCATGTGCCAGCACCAGCCTCTTAGTTAGCGGGGCCCGCTGCTCAGTTAGCGGTGCCGCCTATCATTAATCAGATGGCTTAGGAATACATAGCCTCCTGCTACAAGGATGCAATAGTCTTATTTTGGCCGTCATACTGCAACATAAAGAAACAGCTGGAGGAGAATTGACTGGCAACAGTTAGAGGACTGGGTACAAACAGAGCATTTTAGGAAAGTCACATCTCATAGATGTAAAKATGGGCAGAGGTTCACCAGTTTGACGAAAAGTGTCTAAAATTAATGGAACTATTCAGAATGATGTCTTCAACATGCCATCATCTACAGATCATACTTTTTTTAAAGAACCTAAAGAAATCTCTGAGCTCAAAGAACGAGGCAGGAAGTCAGTTTGAGCTGGTCGTCATCTTTGGACCCTCAGGGRCCASTGCATTAAAAACAGACTTATTCTGAACATAAACGCCCACAAATCCCTGCTTTCTGTTTTTATTTATATTTCACCTAAGGTCTCAACTTTGTTGGATTTGGGTTGTAAACAAAAAACTTAAAGAAGTTAAAGAACTTTAAACTTGTTTTAACAAATTAAAAAAAGTCAAAGAAAAGAAACAAGAAGGAGAAAAGAAAAGAACAAGGACAAAGAACATTTGAAAGATGGATAAAAACACAAAAGAGGTGCTGCAGTTGGACGGAAAGTAAAATAAGAAAAGAAAGAACAGGAAAATCGAGATAAACGAGTTGAAAGTGAACGAAAGAACTTAATGGAGAGGAGGAGAAAAAAGCAGAAAAGGAGCAGAGGCAAAAAATGGGATAATAACAGAAATAAAAGTGGGAGAAAATATTTGGAAAGAGCTGTTTTGTGGAAAGGAGGCAGAATTAGTAAAGAGGAGTTTCAGTGAGAAAAGAACAGAATAAAACAGGAGAGAAAACATGGAGCTGAGGCAGAGCTGCCTTCTTTCTTCTCAAAGCTTACATCATTTCTGTCAGTCTGTCTCATCGTCATGTTAACATYCTTACATTTACAATTCACTTTCAGTTTGTTAAAAAAATCATTTTAGGTTTCAGATAAAAGGCTTTGTTCAACTTCTCTTGAATCAAGACTCAGTAAAGAGTTGAAGATTGAAAGRACCCTGCAGCAGGAGAGTCAAGTTGTTGTTTTTTTCACACTTTAACATCAGGGGACRGACATTTTTATGTTTAATCCATGGGGATGTCCAGATACTGATTTCAATTTAATCATATTTTGTTGCTCAGCTTGTGACTCCACTGCTTTTATGATTTTTGTTTTGTCATTTTGTCCAATTTTTATACATGTACCGTTCTTTTATTACTTTCAGGAATTTTCCACTTGTGTGGCGTAAAGAACATTAAGAGACTTTCTGTAACCATCTGTTAGTCATCTGATAAAGTTGTAGATTCCTTTAACCTGTTCTCAGTTTGTAAAAAACATGTTTCTAGAAAATAAAAATATAAAGGCAGACAAAAAAATACTTTACATTGTTCTGCAGTAGAATTTTAAATGTTATGGTGCAGTATGAGGGTCAAAATTACAGCTATGGCACAACCAGTAGTTGCTACATCCTTGTAGCAGAAGGCTATACCTGTTCCCTATTCCTAATCCAGCTAATAATCTGATTAATGATAGACCGGCACCGCTAACTGAGAACTCAGCGCTGGCAAATGAGAAGGAGATTCATTTGGATTAGCATTGGATAAGCTGATGTTAGCATCAGAGAGGCTAGTGACCAGCATGGATAAGCTGGCATTAGCGTTGGAGAGGCTAGCGACGAGCATGGATAAGCTGGCATTAGCATTGGAGAGGCTAGCGACTAGCATGGATAAGATGGCATTAGCATTGGGGATGCTAGCGACTAGCATGGATAAGCTGGCATTAGCATTGGAGAGGCTAGCGACTAGCATGGATAAGCTGGCATTAGCATTGGAGAGGCTAGCGACTAGCATGGATAAGCTGGCATTAGCGTTGGAGAGGCTAGCGACTAGCATGGATAAGATGGCATTAGCATTGAAGAGGCTAGCGACTAGCATTGATAATCTGGCATTAGCATTGAAGAGGCTAGCGACTAGCATTGATAAGCTGGCATTAGCATTGAAGAGGCTAGTGACTAGCATGGATAAGATGGTATTAGCATTGGAGAGGCTAGTGACTAGCATGGATAAGCTGGAGTGTTTGTCCTTGTCTGTTGGTCGATGTCATTGTAATTTTTCTCTTTCGCTGAATTATGAGAAAACCCAGAACCATSAAGTTGGGGCTTTTTAAGGTTGTAGTGACCACTAATTGCGCAAAAATCTTAATTTTGGCCCTCACACCACACCATAAAATGTTACTTTTACAAATATAATCCAGAAATACAGAGGACAACAATTTCATACCTTTTATCTTAGTTTAGGATCAACAGAACTCTTTATAAATGATATAAATGATCTTGTTATGTTTTAACACGGTGCATGAATCTTGTTTGGGGGTTTAGATTCTTCTCCACCTGGACAGGTGGTAGATGTTCCAAAGAGAGGAGGACCGGTCAAAAACACGAGTGAAACATCTCTAAGTTTTGCGTGTATAAACTCACCCTGCTCCTTGATCTGCCTGATCTGCTTCACCGTCTCTTTCAGAATGGCACACTTGTCTGGCTTGACGTTGAGGTCGTCCATGTCGTTGATGTTGGCGAAGATCAGCTCTGCCAGCTCCTCGATGTATTTGTTCTCCTGCTCCCTGTTCCGTCTCTCCGTGCTTCTCTTYGGGCTGAACAACAAACCATCAAAAATAAACGAATCAATGAAACCAGAAACATGAGTGAAGGTTGCACAGACAGAAAGGAACAGTTTTTATTAATTGTCAGGAATAATTGTAAAGAGACATCTCAGTGTGATGCTGAACATTAACCGTGAGAGGTTTTGTCTTTGTGCAGAAGTGAGACAAAGACCTCCTCAGTAAAAGCAAATTAACTTCATGACCTGTCCGTGACCTGACATTAATGAGCCCYGTGACCTCAGAGAGGAAACCTCTTYACAACAACTTGTTTTGTAAACTGTTTAGCAGCAGCAATTCTTCCTCTCACTTCAGCCATAAAAAAACATTTTATCAAAAACGACAAATTATCTCTTAAAATAAAATCTCTTTTAAACAACACAATAAATAAAACCTAATTAAAACAATCAATATTTCAAACCCTCGTTAGCTTTTCAGGATTGTATTTGTCTGAAATTATTAAACTTAGTTCCAACATTCAGCAGCTTCTGCTCTTCTGAACTGGAGGTCGACTGGTAGTTTCAAACGATATTTGTGTTTTTTTTTCTTGTATCATCATCGGCCGATACATGCATGTGTCACTGATACAATACAAACAATCTTACATTAAGATTGCTATTGTGATTCATTTCCCATCCTAGTCATCTCAACTTTGCCATGCTTCTCCTCCTGCATACTTTGTCCTAGAGCTGCCATTGTAATTTATATCTGTAAAGCCCCTGTGCCAAATGATGGCTATGCCTTTTGGTGCCTGTAAAACTTATAGTTTATGAAATATTAATGTTTAATGAATTATAATGGCAGTCAATGGAGCCTTGTATTGGTCCAATACTGCCCCATGCTGTACTCAAGTGGGTACTGTACCATAGTTTAATATTTCAACTCAGTAGTTCAGTGTTTACTGTGCTAATATGATTGTATTTTGATGTTTTACTATAATATTGTCTTAATACTGCTCTGTTATTTTAATATTATGCATTTTTGTGTCAATAATTGTATTGGCAATGTGGCCTCTTTCTGCACACATACAAACTAACCCCTGCCACCTTCTACGACCACAGCTCCATTGGTCTAATGGTCTATGTCATGGTCTTTAATGTGGGGGATCAGGGTTCAAAACCCAGCTAATGCAACTTTAACAAAAAAATCTCTTCAAATTTCATATTGTCACACAATTACCTTAATTACAAACAC